AGCCAAACATACTTGATGTAGAAGCAGCTGCATATTTAAAATCTCAATGGTGATGCATTTGGTTCTCAAACAGTTAAAGAGTCAGAAACGGTTCGAACGTATGATCTGGGTGGTATACGGGAAATGCAACAAATGGCAAATAAAAATACAGATAATTGAGGCTTACAACTTGTAATAATAACAAAAATAATTGAATGGTACACATGTATAAACTATCGATACTTTGCTAAATTAACAATATAAACGGTAAAATTCTACTGGTGCAATGATAATAGGCGTATATTACAAGCGTTTGAACTTGTCATTTACGACTATTTTCATTATACCGGATAACTTTTATCCGTTTACATTGTTAATTGTACCGGGGTTTACGCTTTACGTGTGTATCTTCCATTATTAAACATTATTATTAAAAGATCTAGCGTTTAATTCTCGAGAATTTTTTGATGCATTTTGTTGCATTACCCCGTGTAACACCCAAATCATAAGTCTGAAATATTTTCGATGCTTTAAATGTTTGAGAACCAAATGGATCGCCTTCAAGATTTTAAATATGCAACTGCTTCTACATTAGCTATGTTCTCTCAGATGGTTTCGATTTACGGTTATCTTATCTTCGTGAGCTGGATGAAATGGATAGTATTCGGAAGGCATTCTTCGCCTTTCCAGTCTTCCTGCTTGTTACTCAAAATTATGATGGTCAGGATTTCCCTCGTATTTCATTTAGGTTGATTGCTCCGAATATATAATGACATTTGATCTCTGAATCGTTGTTGGTTGATTGGTCGGGCTTTTATATCCATATTTACAACTATTTTCATTATATCGGAGAACTTTTATCCATTTACATTGGTTGGGCTTTTATATCCATATTTGCTTCTCTGTATACCGAGACATATGAGGATTGTTGAAATATCAATACTAGTTATTAATGTATTTTATAACTACGTGCAAATGTATCGAAACAAATTATTAAAGAATTGTTTCAGTAATCTCCAGAATGAATGCCCAACCGAGGTACACGAATAAATTGTCGATACATTTATTAAAAGTATCGATCCAAAAAATATCGAATAAGATAATTATAATGTAATAGGTAATTTTTCAATGTAACTGGTATAAATATACCGGTTTTATTTGAGAATAGGTCTACATAATGTATTAACACTTTTTAAATTTGTGTCGATACGTTTTGACCAGAAAGAATGCCCAATGGGGTGTACGAATAAAGTGTCGATACATTTAAAATTGTATCGATCCCAAAAACATCGAAACCGATAATTATAATGTAATAGGTAACTTTACAATGTAACCGGTAGAAATATACCGATTAATTAGAAAATAGGTCTACATAATGTATCGACACTTTTTAAATTTGTGTCGATACGTTTTGATCATAATGAATGCCCAACGAGGTGCATGAATAAAGTGTCGATACATTTATAAAATGTATCGATCCCAAAAACATCAAATAAGATAATTGTAATGTAATAGGTAATTTTTCAATGTAACCGGTATAAATATACTGGTTTTATGTGAGGTCTATATAATGTATCGACACTTTTTAAATTTGTGTTGATACGTTTTGACCAGAAAGAATGCCCAACGGGGTGTACGAATAAAGTGTTGATACATTTATAAAAAGTATCGATACATTTATAAAAACTATCGATCACATAAACATCGAAACCGATAAATATCATGTAATAGGTAAATTTCCAATGTAACCGGTAGAAATATATCGGTTAATTAGAAAATAGGTCTACATAATTTATCGATACGTTTTAAAGTTGTGTCGATACTTTTTTAAATTACGCGTGTTTTTTCCCTTCATTACTTATATGTAACGTTATACAAACCTGAAATCAACAAACCCTAAAGGCAGAATAGAACTCTTCCACTCCGACGAATACCAGCGTTAATAACAGTTACGATCAGTTCTTCATGTAAATTTATCGATATTATGGTATTCAAATTAGTTTTTGATTGATTTCCAGATTGAACACTTTCTTTCCCAATGTGTTCGATATGTATGTTATTGAAACCCTAAGTTTTTAGAATATTAGTCTTCAGAAAGAGGGGTTAGGTTTTAAAGTTTGCTATTTTTGAATGGTTATAGGTTGAAAGTTCAATCTTTGTTCGCAAAGATGATGACCTTCAAATGGAGCCCCAGAGTATCAATATTAAAGAAAATCGAAAGCGACCAGTAAGTATCAATGTATTCATGTAATTGTTCTTGAAATAGTAATTGGATTAAAGTATTTAATCAATTTTAATTGATTCAAACCTCTACAGTCTGATTGAATGAGAAAGGATAAAGGAAGTTCATAATCATGTTGACTGTATAGCCAATAAAACCCCTTGGTAAGCTAAGAATTGGTAAGGTACGCTCTTTTTTAGGGTTTAGGGTTTAGAGCCCTCCAACGTAAGGAGTGCATGATTGAACATTACGTATAATAGTTGTATTAAGTTGTTGAAGAATTGTTCTTAATTTTATATAAGGATAGTTGTAATGATATACGTTCACGTTTCGGGACCAATTAGTTAGATGCATGCAGTACCCTATATCCTCGAGGCAGAGCACAAGAAATATGGCACTTAAAGATTTACCAATAGCGGTAGCTTTTTCTCTGCATGAAAAATAAACGTAGATTCAACTTTGCAATTATGCCTATACTGCTGAAGAGAATATGCTAAATGATAAGATTTGCACACAATTGCGAGAAATATGCCAAGAACACAATTTGTGCTTAGCATAAGGGATAACAAATTTGATAACCCTCTGTATTTCCCTATCCCCATCGGTGACAACTAAATTAGGCGATTTATTCATCATGGCTTTTAAAAAATTTTGTAGCACCCACTTGTAATATTGGGACGTCTCATCAACGATTATGGCAGTAGCAAACACAATTGTGTTATGGTGATGATTGACACCGACAATAGGCATAATTGGCCGACTATACAAATTATCTTTGTACGTTGTGTCGAATGCAATTACATCACGAAGCATGTATAATCTGATCTCGATGTAGAATCCGACTAGATAAGATTATGTAATGCCCCTGATTCGTCTATCGAGTATGTCATAAAAAACCCGAGATCATCATGTTTCTTATAATCAAAGTAAGCAACAAGCGCATTCACATCCCCATCGACAATTTCCTTTGCTTTACCTCTTTAAAGTGCATTATAGAGCTCTTTATGTATAAATCCAACATTATGATAGCCCATGCTTGCTGCGTTAAATAGTTCATTACTTGTGACGTGCCAACACCAACCTCTTTCAATGTTGTTGCCTCATCAATAGCAGCCTTACTTACAGCTCTATTAGAATGCATAAATGGTGTCATAGCAGGTGTACACAATGCATGATTATGTTTCTGATAAGACTTACTTATAACCTAGTGATCGTTTGTATTTGTTGTTGTAAGTATGACTCTAGCCTTGCACCCTGTCCTTGTGACTGGCGTATGAGCACGTTGACGATCAACAATATTGACTTTTGATACTCAAAACCCTTCTTTGGAACAACAAAATTCTTGTGTCTTCACATTCCCTTCCACGTCAAGCCGTGTTGTTCCCCGACGTGCACTAAACCCATGTTCCCATGCGAATCCCTTGTAAAAGTACCAAGCTTGATCACGTGAAGAGAATAGATGACCAACCAATCTGTCAGATTCATCAACATTATGTACTTCATGGAATTCCTCGGTTAGCTTAACATTGTCTGCATCAGTATGATCCATGACAAAAAAATTGTTGTGCAAGTTCAGTGGTCCCAACAGGAGTTGATAGAGATGTAAGTAAAGGTTCATTGAACAACATGTTTCAGTTGTGCTTTCAATATGATGTGGTATTGGTAGTGGTAGTTGAAGGGTATGTACAACATTAAATTCGTAGGGCATATTTAGGTATGTACAATAACCACAAAATTTAATAACTTTAAAGTAATAGGTAAATTTACAATGTAGGTGGTAAAATTAGACATTTTTAATTACAAAATTAATAAACACAAAGATTTGTTTCCAACATTTTATCCAGTATGGTTCCCAAACATAAAGTTTCCAAAAAAAAGTGTGTCGACAAATTTATTGTAAGTATGGATCCTAAAAACATCGAAGCCAATTATTATAAAATAATAAGTAAAATATATCGGTTTAATGAGATAATAGGTAAAAAATGTGTCGATACATTTTCTAAAAGTATCGACCCCAACAACATCGAAACCAATAATTATAATGTAATAGGTAAATTAACAATGTAATCGGTATAAATATACTGGTTAATTACAAAACAGGTAAACATATTGTATCGACACTTGTGGAATTTGTGTTGACGCTTATTATACAGAATGAATGCCCAAACGAGATGCACACATAAAGTGTCGATACATTTATTAGAAGTATCGATCCCAAAAACATCGAAACCGATAATTATAATATAATAGGTAAATTTACAATGTGATCGATATAAATATACCGGTTCTATGAGAGAATAGGTCAACATTATGTATCGACACTTTTTAAATATATGTCGATACTTTTTTCCATCATGAATTCCCAACGAGGTACACACATAAAGTTTTGATACATTTAAAATTGTATCGATCCCTAAAATATCGAAACTGATAATTATAATGTAATAGGTAAATTTGTAATGTTACCGGTATAAATAAACCGGTTTAGTTGAAAAACATGTCAATATAAACGCTACCTATTATATTATATAAATGTTACCTAATATGTTATTGTACTTAATAATATTTCTGGTTAAATTCCTATTTTATTATATAAACGATACCTATTACATTATATAAGCGTTACCTAATATGTTATTAAACTTGATGATATTTCTAATTACATAATATAACATAACCGATTTAAATTTTATGATCACATATTTTACCCAACATTTTTTAGCCGCCCTACAGCATAACTTCCCGAAAAAGTGTTTGAAATCTGTCTTCCCTTATTATTATTCCCGGGACAATTTGGCCATAAAAGAGCCAGAATCGTACTTGTAATTTACCTTTGAGTCAAAACGAGATACAAAAGCCCAAGGATTTTTCTCAAACAGCTGGGAGACATGGATGAACAAGAATTTCGGCGCCTTCTCGATCTCTTCCCTGTTGTTCGATCTCGTGATTATCATGTAAATAACAAAACCCCTCTTTTTTAATTTTATTCTATAATAAATCCTTTGTTGTTAGTTTATCTATGGCTCTGACATCGTTATTTTGCTTCAATTTGGCTTTTTTTCCCCTTTCCGCCGGGAAATGATAATAAGCTTAAGGATTGTGAGTTTCGTTAGTTTCGCGTTGTAAAACATTCAGAAAGATCCTCGCTGTGTTTCAGTGCTATAATAATATTAAGCTTATTGTATGTTTAAATCAGTGTTATTTGTTGATTGTGACTTTTTGTTTTGGTTTCATCATCAGTATTGGGCTTATTGTAAAGCTATTTTTGTCTCTCTGTGTGTTCATGCCCCTGCAGAGTATTGTAATAGATGCTTATGGGTTTTTTGCGGGACTTACGATTTTAGGTGCTGCTTGGTATGGAGGATTGAAGATGGGAAATTTTTTTAAATCTAATGGTTAAGCTACTAAGTAGTAATGTGGTTGTGGATCTTAATCATTTGATTAATTATTTTTGCATCCTTCAAACCAAGGCAAACAAAGCCAAAGAGTTGATATCATTGCTCAAAGTTGGTAAAGTGATGCTTTTTTAACCTTTTTAAATGTTTAATGTCCTCACTACTGAATAGGAAAAGGTCTGATATTGATGCTTGGTTTTAGTTGCATTCGTAAAATGTTTCACTTGTGGCGGTTTTCTAGTGTAAGGATCTAGTAGCTGGTTTTGATAATTATGAACAGTTGATTCATGCAATAATGTTGACACTAATGACTGCGTTCATTCTGATACGAAGTTTCTAATGTCGTTCTTGTTTGCAATTATCTCTAAAAATTTCAGGCTGAGTCAGCTTCATCGAGACAAGCAGCTTCTTGTTCAGCATCAAATGAGGTGGTATTTACTAAAACTAATTGATCCACTTCCTCCCTCTTCTATAGTCGATCAATTTTTGTAATATCCCGTTGAATTGTATCTGTAATATGCTAGCTTGTCATGTTTTTCATTTGCTAAACAGATTAAGGACTGGCAAGATGCATGGCATGATGGTGAAAGAAAAGAAACAGAGAATCAAGGAACTGATCTGCATGGTAAGTTGTTACACAGTCTTTACAATAAAGCGTCTCTGTGAAACTGTATGGATAAGAGTTTTGATCTGTCATCAATCGATCAATTTGTATGTCACAGTTTGGGAAATAATGTATCACTTAACTATTATTATTTTGACAGGTAAATTCTGGCAGAAGCTGAAGTTGACAGCTGAGAAGAAGGTATGCCTAAAGTATAAAGACTCCAGTTAAATAAAATTTTCAGTGTCTAAATTGTTTATGATGTAGAAGTTTCTGAGGCGCTGATGAAATCACTTAGTACCGGAATATAAATATATGAAATTAAACTGGTAAGTGGTAACTTGAATGATTTACTGTGGATCTGATGAGGCAGAATCATTTTTATTTTCTTCCACTGAAATCACTAAGTAGTAATGCTTAGCAAAAATCATTTAGATGTTATGACTAATTTCATTGACTTTGATGCTTTATATTGTTTTTTAGAGAGCTTTTGATATGAGAGAACCTTTATTGCTCTACTGTTCAAAATAGGGATGGGCATGGGACCTGAACCCGACGGGTTCCGACCCAATGATCCGATTGAGTCGGGGTTTTTTTTAAAAATCGGGTTCGGTTCGGATCAAGTTTTTTAAAGGTGATGTTCGGGTTGGGTCGGATTCGTATTTAGGGTGAAAAATACTCAACCCGACCCGACACGAAAAAATATTTAATTTTACCTTATATATTTAGGAATAAATACAATAATACCCCCTATATATATTTTTTTTCGATTAAATCACTATTTTTATTGAATAAAAAAATATTTTTATTATTTTGGGTCGGATTGGATCGGGTTGGTATTTTATCTCAAAAAATTGGGTCGGATGGAGGGTATATATTTTTCGGGTCAGGTCGGGTGAATGATGTTAACTTTTCGGGTCGGGTAGGCCAAAACCTGACCCATGCCCATCCCTAGTTCAAAATGCATAGTGATAATTAGGTTTTTGATCTCTATGTGCTCTTTTTGGGAATAATTCTCTCATTTTGAATAACCGTTGATGCATAATAGCGCCACCCGTTGCTAGAGAGATAGGGCTTCCCCCTTACAGACTAAAAGTTTAGGTTACTATCTGCCTCTACAGAAGAGGTGTACATATGTAGTGCCTGGAGGTCATATAGATCGAACCTGGAGCAATATGAATTAAAGTCCTACTGCATGCCTCTACAGATTAGGTGTATATATGTAGTGCCTGGAGGTCATATAGATCGAACCTGGAGCTGTATGAATGAAAGTCCGACCCACAGCTGCTGGTGTTCTGCAATGTCTTTCTCGGATAGATATTAACAGGGGGAAAAGGAAATTTGAATCAAACCTTTTCTTTGTATTAGCCAACAGTTATTTGTGTTGCAATTTCATGCCAAATCAACCATAAAAGAGCCTTTGCAAATTAAATGGCTCTTGCCTGTAATTCCTAATGTTATCACATGTTCTTTAGGTTTTGAAGATCTTGTGGGATATTTTTGTTGAGCTGCTGATTGTAAATCACTGTTGTCATCATAAATTTTTGTGTTACTGTGATACAGTTCCTATGCTTAATAACAATGTGTTCGGAAGAATTTAATCATGACTGACAGATTAATTGCTACTTGTTAACTGCTCTAGGTTGGTGCAGCAGAGGCAGAAAAATTTTGCAAGGCTTTTCAACACGTTCACATGAAACTTGTACGTCTATTTTAGTTATCCCAACATAACCATTAAATATCTTTAGCATTAGTTTCCAATTCCGACATTTGATCGGGTGATATCGCAAAACTTTAATCATTTGCAGGTGTATGAGGGGCTGAGTTTTGAAGCTGCTCAGAAGATCCTCAACTCATGAAACTGCTGAAAAGCTCCATGGCGAGTACATGTTTTATATTGTTAGGGTATTTCTGTCTGTTGGAATCTTATTAACGAGGTTGAAGAATCTGTTTTGGCAGAAGTTTGTCATCAAAACCATTCTTGTTGTTCATTGTTAAATGAGTTTCGTCCTAGTTTACAGCCATTCTCAATGTAACCTACTTTCAAAAGATTAAGCAAGTTGAAGTATAGACTTTTGATTTCAAACTCGGTTGTATATGCTCATTCAAATTGATGAAGAGCTTTAGGCATTTGCCCATAATTTTTTGGTAACTCATTGTTAAATTTGAGGCATTTATGCCATATAAGCTTACTCATCATGCTTTTTGTGCAACTATAGAGCTTTCAATTGTGTTCACATGAAAATTCCAATGAATAACTTAAGGCGGCATACGCCGAAATGTAAGAAGAGATTATTGATGGAAGATCGCAAGCAACATTTCCTTTTTCCCATCCAAAACGCCTCCAAACAAATAAAGTCTTAAGCATACTGTAAAATAGTAGTCTCCTAAAGGTAAACATATTTGAATTAGAGAATCCAATTCTCCGGTCCCAAGCTGCAAATCAGTCGTGAAGGGTTCCCAAGATATCATCATCTCTATATAGGTGGTACCTGAAACAATTGGTTGAGAATAAAATAAAGTTAAAACCGAAAAAGAAACCCGTCTAACTTTTCCCTAAATTTTTTAGGCATAAGTCGTACACATGTTCAAAAATGTCACAAAAATGAAGAATACATACACCACAGTTCATAAAATGTTATCATGTTAGCAGAAACCTAGTTGGTAACACCAACGGCATGCAAAGCTTCAGTCAAATAAAGGCAAATTGCGATACAAAGCATAGATAAATATAATTACTTTTATCATCTATCAACAGCAGGTAAAGACTCCGGTTTGGTCTCACTCACCCTACTATATCTAGATTTCCAACTCATGATATTTTAAACGATTGAGGAATCAAAGTTTTGACTGCAGGCCATAATCCACAATATCGATGACTAATTGTCAAAACAATTAGTAGTAAAGTAAGATAAAAACCAGGCATGATACCAAACACATGCCGAGGGTCATGATTGCCTAATGACCTTGGTAACCTGTTTAACGAACCTGGTTCCAGAGTTTTTCAATTGGTGGTGGTGCTGGAAAATCGTAGGAAAGATCTAACTTCACCATCCTAGAGGCACAATAACCTTAAACAAGATAGTACACCCTTTAATATATACACATATATTTCCATGGTAATGACAAATGAGGTAAATCTACTAGAGGAATTACTACCATCTCTATGTATTTTAGGCTAAGCTAACTTAATTTTTCACCTTAAGTTGTTCACAAGAAAAAGAAATCATTTCATAGAAACACCATACAAAATATAATATGCGTTACTGATTCAAATAGCAATAATAACTGGGAATGGGTTGAACCCATTTCCTGTCAAAGGGAGTAAACCATTTAACGCTTCAAACAATTCTTATATATTCACAAACAACAACAGAAAAAAGAACAGTTAACGAAGTTTGAGAAGGGCTAAATAAAAGATGGACTAACTCTTTTTCACCAAGCTTGACTTCAGTGCCTCCATATTCAGGCAAAAGGACTGTATCCCCTTCCTTCAGATTAACTGGAATATGCTTCCCATCTCTATCTCGTGCTCCTGGTCCAACTGCTACCACTTTACCAGAGTTTAACTGCAAAAATACAAAAACGATAAAAATTAGGACAAAATAACAAGAACCCAAGGTCAGTGAATTGAAAGGTTGAATTAAGAACCTTGGGAGTCTTCTCAGGGAGCAAGATTCCAGAGTTGGTTTTGGAAGGAGGGATTATTTTCTCAACCAAAATGCGATTAAATGAAGGAATCAAACGCTTTGCCATGTTTGTTCTGAGAGAAAAGGTTAAGGAAACGAGCTGCTTTATGCGATGGAATAGGCTGACAGGGAATGAATTTGAAATATATATATATATGTGTGTGTGTGGAAAGAGTTAGGGTTTATGATGATTTAGGGTTTCGTTGAATTACGAAAATGACCTCCCTACCTCAACCTTTAGAAGACTCTAGACTATGAGACGCAACTCGAACCTGGCCGGTTTTGATCCGATCTTGTTAGATTGGATTCTTTAAAAATAAATAGATTTTGGTCGGGTTTATAAAAGATAAGTAAAGATCAAATTTGATTCGAAAATAGACTGAAAAGTACTCGATTCGACTATAAAAATAATATAATTATAACTTATATATTTATGAATAGATGTAATAAGATATATTTATATTATTTTTCACTTAAATACTTATTTTATCAAATAAATTTAATATGTATATATATATATTCGATCGGATCAAATTTTGAATTAGATAAAATCATCCTAAATTGAATAAAAAACTCCAAAAGAACGAAAATACGTGTTCTAATGACTATAAAACTCATTATCGAAAAATATACGAGAATAAAAACGAAACTTTATCAATCAAAATAATATTATTTGAGCCAAAGTTACTGTTGATATTTATATGAATATCTATACTATTAAATTTGTACTAAACTTCAACTTAATTGATTTTTAAGTATTAATAATAGGATAAAGTATACAAATGGTCACTGAACTTTTTAAATATTTGCATTTAGGTCCCCTAAGTTTTAAAACTTGCAATACAATCACCAAACATTTAGTTCATTTGCAATATAGTCCCCGACGTAACGGTCATTTCATTGTCGTTAGGGTAAATTATATAAATGGTCATTGAATTTTTTAGGCGTTTGCATTAAGGTCCCCCAACTTTTAAAACTTACAACACAATCATTGATTACATTATAACCCTAAAAACAAAAATACTTCAATTATATTCAAAACCTCAAATTCCAAAATACTTCAATTACATGCCCAACCTCAAATTCATAATCCATTCTCAAAATTTGTCATAACAAACTAAACTTAAAGTAACAACCCTAAACCCTCAAAACATAATTGTTTCCATAAAATTTAACCAACTATAAGTGAACAATAAATAAATATGTTGGGTTTAGGGTTATATTGGACCTAAATACTCAATTCAGTTTATAAAATAGTTGACTCGAAATTTTTTCGATTTGAGTTTATAAAATTTAAATCAAGTCGAATTGAATTGAATTTTCAAGTTTCTGTTTAAATTTAATTATAAATATTTATCATATTATAATATTATTTGATTCTAATTCAGTTCAGTTTATAAAATAGTTGACTCAAAATTTTTTCGATTTGAGTTTATAAAATTTAAATCAAGTCGAATTTAATTTAATTTTGAGTTTCTGTTTAAATTTAAGGGTAAAGTATAGTAATGGTCACTGAGCTTTTCTAAAGCTTTCATTTAGGTCCCCCAACTTTTAAAACTTGTAATACAATCCCCCAACATTTAGTCCGTTTGCAATATGGTCCCCCAATATTTAGTCTGTTTGTAATATGGTCCCCGAAATAACAGACCGTTTGACACCGTTACTCTGTCGTTAGTACGTTTGCAATATGGTTAATGAACTTTTCAGGCGCTTGCATTTAGGTCCCCCCAACTTTTAAAACTTACAACACAATCCTTAATTTTATTCTAAACCCCCAAATTCATTTTCGATCTCAAATTTCCTTTTTCGCTTCTCTCTATTCATTTTCAGCGTAACTTTTCAGTCGGGGATGCATGGAAAATTCTAATATAACTTTGAATTATATGGAGGTGTTGACTTGAATAAGGGTCTATTGAGAGAAGACCCGATCAAATGACTATCGGGACCATCAACGATTTAAGGTATAATGTTATATACATGTCATCTCTGGTGAAGCATAGATGTTCGATGAAATGCTTGTTAGAAAAAAATAGGGTTAGAAATGCAGAGTTGACAAATACTATTAAGATGAACTAAGTATCATCGTTGAAATCACCAACAAAGCTGGAATTATTTTGTATAAATGACATAATAATTTCTTCATTTAATCCTTGTGGTTAAAGATTTTCTAACAGATGATCAAATATAATGAAATTCCAAACAACGCATTCACCTCTCAGTCTCTTTCGCTCACATGCACTCTCGTTTGGTTTTTGTTTTCAACTTTCCGCCATATAAAATTGTAAACCCAAGCAGTGCTCTGTCTTTCAGCTTTTTATTTACAAAAAAAATGGAGGATTGCTAGAACGCAACACCGGTTGCGTTTATTTCTTAGCCTCTCCCTTGCAAGAAGGTATTTATTTTCTCTTTTGGGCTATCTGGAAGTAAGCTTTTCCTCTTTCTCACTTTTCCATTTTCAGCTCGCATTGTGTGTTTTTTGTTGAAATTTTTATGTTTATGGAACTGCATGTCAATGATCTAGATATTCAGTGTTAGTTTCGAACCAAAACCATACATTTTTCTTTCTTTCTTCTTAATCAAAACTTTTAGTATTTCTTATGAAAGATATTCAGTCTATCAGAATAGAAGTGAAATAGGGTTCTATGCTAAATTTTTTTATCTTCTTTTTTGGTTTTTTTTAAATTAGGGAATTGGTTATGAGTATCGACATAGTGAAATCGAAAGGCTCAATTCGAAAGACTGATGGTACTAGTTTATTGGGAATTGTATTTATCCGATCTGTGGTTTTCGGCGTCATGTGAGCTCGTATTCTTTTTAATAAGTTCATGTTGATCATGGGACTGATATATAGTGAACGAATTGGATTTTTTTACATGTTTTTGAAATTTTACAGTTGAATTGCATTGAATTATAACTTTAGAAGAAAATTATGCATGCACACAACTCGAAAGGCATCATGACAGGGTAGTATATTTGGAGCAGCTACTTGACCATGTCATGATGCCTTTCGAGTTGGAAAGAGACTGAGAGGTGAATGCGATGTTTGGGATTTCATTATATTTGATCATCTGTTGGAAAATATTTAACTACAATGATTAAACAAATAAATTATTATATGTCATTTATACAAAATAATTCCAGCTTTATTGGTGACTTTCAACAATGATACTTAGTTCATCTTAGTAATATTTGTCAACTATGCATTTCTAACCCTATTTTTTTCTCACAAGCATTTCATCGAACATTTATGCTTCACCTGAGATGACATTTATTTAACATTACACCTTAAATCGTTGATGTTCCCGATAGTCCATTGGTCGGGTCTTCTCTCAATGGACCATTTTTCAAGTCAACTCCTCCACATAATTCAAAGTTATATTAGAATTTTCATGCATCCCCGACTGAAAAGTTACGCTGGAAATAAGAAGAGAGAATCGAAAAAGGAAATTCGAGATCGAAAATGAATTTGGGGTTTAGAATAAAATTAAGGATTGTGTTGCAAGTTTTAAAAGTTAGGGGACCTAAATGCAAAAAAGTTCAGTGACCATATTGCAAACGTACTAACGGCAGTGTAACGGCGTCAAACGGTCTGTTATTTCGGGGACCATATTGCAAACGGACTAAATGTTGTGGACTGTATTATAAGTTTTAAAAGTTGGGGGACCTAAATAAAAGCTTTAGAAAAGTTCAGTGACCATTACTATACTTTACCCTAAATTTAATTATAAATGTTTATAATACTATAATATTATTTTATTCTAATTTAAATAGTTTTTTAACCATATACAATACATATATTTCTTCATATTTTTTCCATATGTGATATACATATATCATACAGAGTTAAGAGACTTGACTCAAACTTAAAAATTAATCCACTAATTACTAAAAATTTTAAGATATTCGAGTTCTATTTATAAATCAATTTTAACTTGAATTTTTTTTAAGTTGAGTTTATGAAATTACAACTCAAAGTCAATTTGTATAAAAAATTTTGAATCAATTCAAGTCGAAAAATAATTTGTTTCAAATTGAATTAAGTATTTTTCACTTATAGTTGGTTAAATCTAACTTTTAAATCCTAAACCCAACATAATCACTTATTGTTATGGACCCAAAATGAACTAAATGTTGTTGATTATGTTGGGTTAATTGGTGGGGAAATTTAGGATTTAAGGTTATGCTTTGAGGGTTTACGGTTACTGCTTCAAGTTCAGTTTGTTGTGATAGATTTTGAGAATGTATTATGAATTTGGGGTTGGGCATGTAATTAAAGTCTTTTGGAATTTGAGGTTTAGAATATAATTGAAATATTTTAGAATTTGAGGTTTAGAATGTAATTGATGTTTATGTTGTAAGTTTTAAAAGTTGGGGACCTAAATGCAATCACCTGAAAAGTTCAATGACGATTTATATAATTTACCCTAACGACAATGAAACGATCATTACGTCGGGGACCATATTACAAACGAACTAAATGTTTGATGATTGTATTGCAATTTTAAAAGTTGGGATCTAAATGCAAGCATTTAAAAAATTTAACGACCATTTGTATACTTTACCCTTAATAATATTATGAAATCCATTGATACCTTAGTGATAAAGGGAAGGTTAAAAGATGTCCCAAAGATTTATACGTTGAAAAAAATATCAACATAGCTTAGTATTTTTTTAATGTGTGGTCACTTGAGCAATGTTTTCTGTCATTAATCGTTAGGGTGTTGATGTGATGGTCCACAATGCTAACGTGACAATCATTTGTGCTTAATGATGTGGACGATGACATGACATATGTACTAAATTGTTTTTTAATTTTGTTCAAAGGTCAAATTGAATTTTTTTAAAGTTCAAGGGTTTATTTAATTTGTTTTAAAAATAAAAAATATTTAAATTATGAGTATAAAATTATTCAAATATTTAAACAAATTAAGTATAAAAATAATGAAAATTAAAAAAAATTAAAAAATTGAATATTCATATTAAAAATACTAAAATTATTATAAAAATTTTAAAATAATTTGAATATATATCATAGGTTATAAAATTATGACTTATAAATTATAAAAAAATTAAAAATATTTTTAAAAAGATATATTATACATAACATATACTTGTAATCTATGATATACGTTATCATTTTATAAATATTTTTTAAATTTTTTTTAATTTATAAGTTATTATCTTATAACTTAGGATACATATTCAAATTTTTTTAAAATTTTTATAATAATTTTAGTATTTTGGCAAAAGGATATTCAATTTTTTTAATAACTTGATTTTTAGTTTTAGTTTTTTTATATTTAATTTTTTGAATATTTAAATAATTTTATATTCATAATTTTTTTACAAATTAAATAAGTCCTTGAAGTTCTTTAAAAATCAATTTGACCCTCGAACAAAACTAAAAAAATCATTTGTGTCTATCTTTCATGTCATCTGCCACCCCATCAGTCATAGTGGATTGTCACATCAACATCGTGGACTGCTATGTCAGCACTGTAATGGTCAACGACGAAAAACATTGGTCAAAGAGCCTTATTGAGTTTGTTTTCTGAGTTAGAGGGTCACATTGAGTGAGAGAAAATAGTACAAGGATCACATTGGATTTTTTTAAGGTACATGGGCTTGAGGTGTTTTTTTACCTAAAAGGAAATGTTAGTCATTACCTTTTATTAAAATTAAGATTCTTAATTAAGATTAAGAAGCCAGGAAAAGATATAAAGAAAGAAATCTATTGATCAAGCAAAAGGAGAGAGAGAGGGATTCGAACCCTCGATAGTTCTTTGTTTTGAACTATACCGGTTTTCAAGACCGGAGCTATCAACCACTCAGCCATCTCTCCGAAAGCTAATTTCTATTTTCTTTTTATTCCATCGATTCCCTATGGACATCATATCTAGATAGATAAAATACCTCATTAGATAACTATAACTGTGTAACAACTTATGCTCTGGGGTTTACATAGACGCATAATTGCTGTTATATTATAATATAATTGAAATTCAGAAAGGTTTTTTTATTGAAAAAAAACAATACTGATTAGTTATGTATCCAGTTTTTTTTCTTATACCATTAGAAAAAGACAAGTGAAGAAGAATCGTCCATAAATTTCCAGTCAATAATTAATAGTTAATGGTTCCAATTTATTTGTCCTGAATTTTGACTTTTTTTCACTGAGAATCCACATTTTCTTTTTCAATAGAAAAAAGAAAGGGAAAGTTTTTAGATATTGTGTGTCTTAAGATAATCAAATCAGATGGTTTTATTTCTCAATCTTTCTTACTTGCTCCTACAGAACTAAGGTCGAAAAGATTGAGAAAAATCAGTCATTCACAACCACTGATGAAGGATTCCTCGAAAAGTTAAGGATTAGTAATCCGTTTTAGAAATCGAATGGGTTCGATCTTATACATATGCGAGGAAGGTAATCAAAAAAAAGAAAGAAGATAAGTTCTTCTTTACTTTTATTACTTAGGAGCCATGTGAGATGAAAGTCTCATGTTTTGAATGAGATAAAGAAGTGAGGAATCCTCTTTTCACGGCTCAACAAACCATTCATTAAATCCATGCAAGAGCATACGGTGGTCACATTAATGGACATTCGCTAGTTAAGATAACTTCGTAGGTTAGGGTACTATTGGCTGGCTTATTATGGAGAAGGGGAGAAGGAAAACATAGAGTTTGTGCGTAAGTGTAAGGAGTGTCAGATTCATGGGGATTTCATCCATGCCCCTTCGAATCATACGAATCGATCTAATAATGATGGACTTGAATTTCTATTCTGATTACTGAATCACAAGAAATTTTATCTAACTCCATATAATATATATGGAATGTGTGAACCTGGGCTTCGGGAGGGGGAGATGTAAGAAAAATTACTAACTTGACTCTTAGCCCAAGTGTTATATTTGGTTATTTACTAAAATCTCCCTTTGGGGGCGAAGGATGGATTGTTAGTGTGGACAATTTGGGTGTGTGTCATTTATCAATTGATTAAGAAAATTTTAAATAAATCATATCTTATAATTAGCCTACACTATTTATATAAAATATTAATAATATTATTAAAAAAAGTATTAATTAATACAATTTTCAAGTATTTTAAAATTTGGAGCCCAACCGAAGCCAACAATTTACTTCATTTAGGGCCTTGTGTCAAAGGCATCTGCGAGGATAAAATTGACCCAACAAGTAAGACAAATAAAAAAATTAACATATTATATCATTTTCAAAATTAATTCGGAATCGACAGACGGTACAATGTAAGAAATATTCGTCACGTTCACATGACAAGTTTATCTAGATAATACTTTTTATTTAAACTCGTCATGTCATCGTGACGAGTTTCAATAAAATATAATATTGATTAAAATTTATCACATCGAGATAAAAAATTTAAATAAAAAATATATTTTATTAAAATTTATCACGTCAACATGACGAGATTCAAATAACCGTAACAAATATATTAGATCCCTAGATAATTTTTTATGTCATATTAAGTTAAATAATTAGCCCGATATGGTATTGGACTAATTTTGCCCATGCGAGAGAGATTGAGTGGATCACTTAGGTTGTGTTTGGTTCACGAAATGTAAGATTACTAGAGAATAGGATTACTGAGAATGTTATATTTTGTGTTTGGTTGGTTTAGCAGGAATATAAGATTACCATGTTTGGTTAAAGGAATAAAAGATTATTGAAATGTATATTTGACCAAATTGTCCTTATTATATATTTATTTTTTAATAAGTTAGAAAATATTTATATATTTTCTTTAAAAAATTTAAATTAATAAAATTTATATAATTTTTTTTACAAAATTTAAAATATAAAAAAGTTTAATGAAAGGATACAATTTTATTTTCATCTTTGAACTTCATATAAAATTTTAATTATAATTTTTTTTGTAAATATAAAATAGTTTAAAGAGAAATTTGTAATTTAAATTTCATAGAATTTGTATTATTTAATAACAAAATAAAGATATTTTTGAAAGAAATTTTTAAGAGTATTTTAGTTCAAAACACCGGTAATCTAATAATACCTAAAAAATAAAGGTAATGAATATATCTAAAAAAAATTAATATTAATAATATAAGATTACCGAGAATTACATTCTCGACCAACCAAATATGAAAATTCCATTTCTCACTCAAACACACCTTATGTCCATAGCAATGAAATCTTGAGAACAAAGAAAAGCTGAAAAATATTTATATCAATCAAATCTAAAGTAAAATAGCCAAAGTAGTAGGAGTGGAAGAAGAAGAAGAAGAAGCAATATGAGCAGCATAGGAACTGGTTACGATCTCTCCGTCACCACTTTCTCTCCCGATGGCCGCGTTTTCCAGATCGAATACGCCGCCAAAGCAGTCGATAACAGCGGGTACGCTTTTCTTTTTCTCATATGTAGTTTTAGGGTGTCGGAAACCTAATTTTGTTTAAAAGTATTTTTCTTGTTGTAGAACTGTGATTGGAATAAAATGCAAAGATGGGATCGTAATGGTAATGCTTTACTTTTCCTTTTTCCTTGATTGCTTATTTTGAATCGAAAAAGAAGAAAGAACAGCAGCAACTATATGCGTGTAGACTAAAGTGGGTGGTATTATTTTAGGGAGTTGAAAAGTTGATAGCATCAAAGATGATGTTACCCGGATCTAATCGAAGAATCCACTCCGTTCATCGCCATTCCGGCATGGTATTCACTATTTCTTCCCCCTTTTTCCTCAGCTTCAACTTTGTTTCGATGAAATTTTTACCCCATTTTCAAAGCTAATGTTTTGGGTTCTAACTTCTCTTTCACTGGTATTCTATATTCTAATTCAGGCGGTGGCTGGATTAGCGGCTGACGGTAGGCAAATTGTGGCCCGTGCTAAATCTGAAGCTACTAATTACCAAAGGTTTTTTCTTTTGTTTTCCATTTGAAATAAATTTCCACAGTTCATATTTAAATATACCTGTTATGTTTTTACTTTTTATCTAATTAAGGGTTCTTCATTTGTTGGTGGTTGTGAAGTGTATACGGTGAACCCATTCCTGTCAAAGAACTTGCTGAACGTGTTGCGAGTTATGTGCATTTATGCACCCTTTACTGGTGGCTCAGGCCTTTTGGCTGTGGGATAATTCTCGGCGGTTATGATAGAGATGGTCCCCAATTATATATGGTTGAACCATCTGGCATCTCCAATGTCAGTTCATTTCTCTCGATTAGAGCTTCACGTTTTTCTTTGTTTGTTGATACCTGGTTCATTAGTATTATTTCTATTTGCTGCTTGTTCTTGACTTACGACTCCTTGTTTGTTGCATCTCGTGTTGTAATTAATGTAGCGATACTTTGGTGCTGCAATTGGGAAGGGAAAACAAGCTGCGAAAACGTAAGTTATAAAACTAATTTTTTATCCTGTGAAACTTGAAGGAAGGAATTCATTTACTCGTGCTAGCTAATTAGATGAAATTATTGGAGCAATGAATTTTCGAACATTTTTTTCCCTTCATGTATTTGAAGCTAATGGATATCTTTCCTGTTTTTTATGTTCTTTTTTTGCCAGATGTTTTACACCCCATTGAAAAGCCTTTGTTGGACATGGGACTTTATTTATTTTCTTTGAAACATGATCTCCAAAACATTTCTGCCTCCCTCTCATCATACAAAGTTTTTGTAATTGATCTATATGAGTTTCCTTGTTTCCAAACTTGTATTTGATAAAAAGAGAAACTAAAAGAGACGATGATGAAAAATTGATGTGGATTTATGAAAAGTGAAACACTCCCTTGGCACTAAACTGGTTTGGTTGGCTGGTTAAATCATTCCTCTATCCCGTAAATTAATGACTATGTCCTTTCAAATATATAAAGAAGATGTAACCTTAGTTATCCATGGTTTATCTCTTTCTTTTGTACATTCATCTCATTAATACTAGTACTAAACAATTATAAGGTTACAACTGCATTCTGTATATGGACAGGGAAATTGAAAAGTTGAAACTGTCAGAAATGACGTGCAGGGAAGGGGTTATTGCAGTAGCCAAAATGTGAGTTTTTCTATTTTAATTCCTTCCATGCCTTTCAAGATAATTGCTTATGTCTTCTTCTATGAAAGTTAATGTTTCCTTCTTTTTTTTCTTGCATTTAGTGGAAATCTAGGGAACTTGCTCATATTTTTTTCCTGTTATTTTACTCATTTTTAGCTGTAATGTCTGGTTTAGCACAATGACAAGCCTGGTGCTTGATATTTATCAGAATATAGGTTGAATAGTCAACTGTGAAATAATCGACTACCATGACTTAAGAAACAAACCACACGCTGTCAAGCAAATTGTCATAATCGTATTTGTGCACACATATAATGCATATGCATGATATCATCTCCCCTTCTCTGAGAATGCATGTATAAGATTTCATCATTTATCATTGAGCAGAATCTACAAAGTACATGATGAAGCAAAGGACAAAGCCTTTGAACTGGAGATGAGTTGGGTATGTGATGAGTCAAAGCAACAACATCAGAAGGTAATTCCCAGCACCCATTATGGATATACATCACTTCACTTTCTCCCTTTTTGCCAGCTTGAAAAACTAACAGCAATTACATGCAGATGGCTTTATGAATTGAATTATGCTGTGGACTACCATGACTTAAGAAACAAACCACACGCTGTCAAGCAAATTGTCATAATCGTATTTGTGCACACATATAATGCATATGCATGATATCATCTCCCCTTCTCTGAGAATGCATGTATAAGATTTCATCATTTATCATTGAGCAGAATCTACAAAGTACATGATGAAGCAAAGGACAAAGCCTTTGAACTGGAGATGAGTTGGGTATGTGATGAGTCAAAGCAACAACATCAGAAGGTAATTCCCAGCACCCATTATGGATATACATCACTTCACTTTCTCCCTTTTTGCCAGCTTGAAAAACTAACAGCAATTACATGCAGATGGCTTTATGAATTGAATTATGCTGTGTTTTATTTAGTTTCTTATGATTCAATGTGTGTTTTGAATTTTGCAAAAATTGGGGGAAATGTATTCCTTATGTAAAAGCCTCCTTATTTAACTTTTGGATTGTTCTATTAAGAGATCCCAATATGTCATAGGATTCTCATTCCTGAAATTCTGCACTCAGAACCCAGAAAACAAACAATTTTTGGGTTAGTTGTTCCTTGGAGCATATACTTTCACATGGCCGTCTTCCCATTTGATAACATCTTACATGAGCATTTGTAAACCTGTCTCACATGTCCAAAACCGTGCCAGATGTTCTCAATCTTTTTTTTTTTTTTACTTCATTGGTGCTAGCTTCATCTTTTCTCTTAGGCAGTTAGGCTTTCGATTCTAATGAAATTTTTTTCTCCTTGCCACCTTTTTTTCTCTTTCGTAGAAAGGCTATTCACTTAATATACTGAAGGTAATAAATAATGTCAGTGTCATGATCTTATCCACTTATATATCTCATTGATAATTTTATTTTCTCCATGTTTGTTTCATGTGATGGATTCTGAAATTTCGTTGCTAGTGATCTATGGAATTTATCATCTAAAAATAGTTGGTTAGAACCCATATTTGAAGAGCCATGGATCAATTAACTTCGTTTATCTTCAGAAGAATCTAGTTGTTATTTCAGAAATAATTTTTCGCTAGTCCTTGATCGGTTTTCATTTTATGTGCTGTCCATTTGATGACACTTTCACAAAATTTCAGGTTCCCGATGACCTTTTCGAGGAAGCCAAGGCTGCAGCTAGGACTGCATTGGAAGAAATGGATGCTGATTAATGATATTATATAGACAGAATTGTTCTGTTATCATATGTATTTTGATCTTTGTAAAGTTCCCGATGTTATGGACCTTCTGGTTTAAAAGATGGGAGTGAGTGCCTGGTCTTTCTAAGATCAGGAGGGATGAAATGATGGATTCAAAAGACCTTGAACTTTCTGTTGTCCGTTGCATTGTAATTTTTTTTTCTAGGCATCACATAGACGTCGTCACTGACAATTACTGTGAAGGTTGAGGAACACCCATTTTGTCATGGTGCGCATACCGTTTAACATTACATTTGCTGTTAAGAGATCACTTTTCAAACTCTAAATCAATTTGAATGGTGTGCCTAACTTAGGCTTGGTAACGAGCATTCGATCGGTTAGACTTGTTCAGTTTTAGATTTTTAGAATGGAAAAAATTTGGACCAACCAGACCATCCAAAATATGGGTTTGATTGAAAATAGAACAAATGAGCTTTACCAAAACAAGTAAGAAATTGAGCCAGTTGAATCGGACGATGCTAAAATCTTGAAAATCAAATTAACTAACCGGGAATAAAAAATGTAATATAATTTGTTCACAAACATTTGAATGTTCCAATAACGGTCCCAAAATCATTAAAAGGTTTAGGGATCAATATAAAATGAGTCATAGTTTGAGAATTAGATTTAGAATGCTCAAAAGTTTGGGACACAATTTAGAATGACTTATAGTTTAGGGATAAAACTATAATGTTCAAAAGTTTAGAGACTAATTTAAAATGAGTCATAGCTTGAGGACATATAGTGCAATTAACTAATAATTAAGAAAATCGAAGTTTTAATGGATCCAACACTGTTTTGGTTTAATCGTCACTGTCTAGTTGGGGAGCCCTAGAGTCGCTGATATATGAAATGACATGCACCATCAACATGAATCTTTGCAATCAATTTGGTCGTTAAACATAATGATCTCAACATTTGAAAACCAAACTCACACAATCTGTTTGTTCAAATGCTTCAAATGTGAAGGGTAGCAAAAGTTAAATGACAATAGTTCCATAGAAAAACTTATCAGTTGGAAAATCTTATAACTTCCACCAACAAGGGAACACATTATAATAGCAATTCCTATGACTTTCAGAAGGTTGATGAAAAATGCAAGAACCTCGATTGAATTTGCTAGTAGTCACTGGAAGTATCTTCACCCAAAAGAGCCGCTATAACATCTGTCACGACGGGTTTATCCCTCACGCACCCAATGTCATGACCAAACTGACCAGATCTGAGAAACTCTAGTCCAGAAATAGCCATCCGATTCGAAGTTTCGTTCTTGTTGTTGCATCCTGCAGGAGTTATGATTAATTGTACTGATACAAAATATTATTAATGCATGCCACAAAATTCATTGGTTGCAAAAGATATCTCACCCAGAATGCTCTCAACAAATTGTGGTTCATCTAATGAGCTTCCACTACCTGGAGTGTGCTCGCTGAAAGCCGATGCAGCAGAATGAGCTGGAGAATTCGAGTCACAGCATGCTTCAGATTCTAATTCACAACCCTTTTGGGGAAAATTGGCTACATCATCAAGCATCAAAGTAGAAGAATGATGGCTATAATCATCCTTTGAGCTTTTAAGTTTCTGTGACTCGTAAACTATTTCTTCCAGGAGACCACTGTTTTGTGGTGTAAAAATATCCGACTTAGCTCGCTTCATCGGAGGGGATAGGATCAGAGAATCGACAGACTCAACCAAAGGTAGCGAGACCGAAGGATTAACCCAACTATCTTGTTGATAATCTGAATATTGGTATGAAGGGAGCTCCACGTTCATAGGCCCAGACAAGGGCTCAGAAGGAGAGAAATTACTCCTTATAAGGGCATCAGTGCCAGGAGGTATACCAAATGATGACTGGTCATTTGTACTGAAATCAGAATCATATGGCGAAGATGCTTTGCAGGGATCATCATAATTTTCCTGGCAAACAAAATCAGTCAATTGGTTGGGCATTGAGATAAAATTGCTGACACTTTCCTGAAGATGCTTAGGAGAGCATGCCATTGGGAACATATGGCCATAATCATGGGATGAACCAATAGTATTTGGAGGAATGTTGAGAAGCTCAGGTGAACAGGAAAAATATTGTTGGTTGAATTCTAGATTCTCGAATTCCACATGCGGAATCTCAAAAGCATCCGATTGCAAGAGATTGGAACTAAAGGAGTCCTGGTTTGGCATTGAAGCCACATTATGACTTTCTTCTTGACTGAAATTTACTTGCAAGCACACATCAGGAGGGTAAATAGGCAAGCCAGCACGTTGCAGTCTCTTAATTCTTGTATTCCAGAAGTTCTTTATCTCATTATCAGTTCGTCCTGGCAACTAGAGAAAATAAAGGGATGGAATGATTATAAAATTGAATCAAACGATAAGAAAATAGCACATGAGAGGATTTTGTTTCAGGGAAAATTTACTATAAGTGACTAGAATTTCATGATGTATTGCTGAGCATCCATGGCAATACACAGAACACGCATGTGAAAAGGGCTTGCTTATCATGCCACAAAAAGATGATTGAATAAAACCTAAAACTTGCTTGTAATTCGAGTGCAAAAAAATATATTAAAAAAAGAAATAAGATATTGACTGGATACACGGACGCAGATTTACATAAATATGAATCTATTTTATACGTCTTCTGAAATATAATGCAAAAATAGAATCTTTGAGATATAATACGTTGCCATATTTTTTCATTACATTTAGTATCATGAGCTGAAGCATAACATGTTGGTGCTTCTTCCTTTCTCTTTCTCTCTTTCTATTTGGGGGTGTGGTTCATATATTGTCCTTAACATTATTTTATTATTTCTCTAGTTTTAAATTTTCTTGACAAGAAAGATTTTTTTCTTCTTTTGTAACAAGGGAAAAAGAAGTATGATTCATCAGAATTGGCAATCCTTGGTTGACCGTGCCAAGGAGCAGGATATTCAGTCAGCTAAAATGTATATATCAGAACATACGGGCAGGAGTCCTTGAGAAAGTTTCATGTATCAACAAAATCATTTTGTATGGGTGGTAAACCATGGATCAAATAATCACATGCATAGGAACTCCATGGAAGCAAGTTAATCATTGTGAAAGACATAAATGTTGAGTCTCCGCATATCAGGACGGAGTGAGGAACATGAATTAACACAGTAACCAAATCATTTGCACATCACAAAAACTTACTATTCACAAACATCAATTAGCTTCATGAGAAAGAATGATCATCTCCCAATATAAAATTAATATAAGAGCATGCACGTGCATGTATTTGTTAATTAGTGCAAATGCTGCATTCTACAAAACCAACTTTGAAAGTTAAAATTAATAAGTTATTGAATTTAATATGTCAAAAGAAATACCAACCTCTGCAGCCATTTGTGCCCATTTGTTTCCCAACTTAGCATGTAGCTCAACTATACGGCGCTCTTCAGCTGGAGTAAACATGCCCTTCTTCAAATCTGGTCTTAGGTGGTTCGCCCAACGCAGGCGACAGCTTTTCCCACATCTGGAAAGTCCAGAGTGTTTCTGGACAGCATTCCAATTCCCCTCACCATGCTTCTTTACATACTTGACCAGAATTGCATCTTCCGCTTGAGTCCAAGGTCCTTTCTTCAAATGACAGCTTTCTCTCATGTTGCCTCTCCTACCAACTTCTTCAACTAATGATAAATCAGAGTGACCATTCAGCATTGCTCCGTTGCCTCCATTTCCATATTACAAAAACCAAATCTTAAAGATTTATTCAGCACCAGAAACATAATACTAGGATGATACTAAAATGCATCTATTTAATAGAAGATTATTGTTTTTCTATCAGGGATTGTTATGGTTCGATTTGGTTTTCGACAGAAATTACAGTTAATAAATGGCATTCTTCTAAATTCTAAAAATAATATCGTTTTATAATATTTTTATTTTTATGAAATCTTAGAAATAGAATACTTGTTTTATATTACGAAACAAAAATTAGAAACCGACTCAAACAATTGCAGTTTTAACTCTGAACTGAAGTGAAAACCAAATCGAATACGTTCAAAATTTCCCAAATTGAATTCAGTGAAAACCAAAAACATTACAGTACGAATTAAATTTCCATTTTTTTTCGATTTTTCCCCATGCCTTACTTTCTGTTCGTTCTTTGCATTAACCGATGTGAACCATAGTAATATTAAAACCTACTCCATTAAAGTAAAATGCTTTCAGCTATACTATTTTTATCAATCAATTTTGACAAATAATCTAATATAAATTGTAAACATTAATAATATGATGATTTCACATGTTCCGAAAATCACATTTTTCATTGTCCTTCCTAGATGATTTTTTTCCTATTTTGTACGAATTGCATTTCCGGAATCATTTCTACAAGTAAGCTCAAAATTTTGTTTACATTCCATAATTTTTTGAGCAGAACAATCTAACAACTGAGCATCAAATCAATCAACATACAAGCACCGAAGTTCAAAATAAGAAGCTGTTCTTACCTGAATGCGTTGAAGATCAGAGGAGTTTGCAGAGCTCAATCAGAACCCTAAATATCTATATCACGGATTTCCGGAACCAAAAGCGAAAGAAAAGGATAAAAAAGGTAAATTGTTAATTGAAAAACTCAGAATCGGGAAAAGGAAAGCATGAATAAATCAACTCCAGAAAGCCACATTTTGTTTGGAATTTATAGAAGAGAGTGTAGAAATGTAGTTCAGAGAGAGAAAGAGCTGATTTTAATCGGGCGAAAAATCTCTGAATTTCTCTCTCTCTCTTAAAAAAGGGAATGAAAAGGAGTGGGAAACCTAAAGAAGGAAGGGAAGTGCAGTGGCAAAAGGAGAGGGAAAATAGGAGCGAAAAGAGGCTCACTCACTGAGTCAGCCCAGCTCACGCCACCTCCACCTCTCTCCTTTTAGAATTTCCATTGCTTTTAAATTTTGGTTAAACTACACTTTTGCCGCTCCTAACTTTGTTGATGTTTCTTCTTTGATCATTACATTTTAAAACTTTCAAATTTATTGTTAACTTTCTAACTTTTACTTATTTTAGTCATTCAATCATTGAGTCTTTAATATTGTTAATTCTTTTGTCATAAATTTATTTAAAATAAACCATAAATTTTTCTCTCAAATCCATATTTTTGGGATCTTTTTGAGTGATCAACAACACAATATTTTCTTTTAAATTCAAACCGTAGGAAGGTTAAGAGAAAACTAATCTCCTAATTTCATGTTGATTAGAAGATAAAGATTGCATATCAAATCAAGATAAGATCAAAATTTTAATTTATAATTTTATTAATTTCAAGGATAATCAAACTAAAAAGAAGAAAGAGGGGGAAATTGAATGTTTTTGTACCATTTATATTGTAAATGATGATCATACACAAAAGAGAAGGCTTCCAACTATAGAAAAGAATAATATTATAATTTTAGGAAAGTTTCTTAAATAAAAGCCCCATAATATAGTATTTTTTATATTGGTGTTAGAATTGGTTGAGTGATCCTAACGAGTGAAAATTACGAAAATTAAAGTTGAGTTGCTAAAATAGAAATATTGGAAAATTTGAGTGACCAAAAATATATTTCACCCTTTAATTTCAATCTCTCGCCCGTCAACATCCTCTGTCTCACTCTCTCTCCCGTCAACCTTCTCCGGTATGCTCCAATCGAACGTAAATGAGAAAAAGAGGTAAACAGGCACAACGGCAATGTTAAAAAAGGCTAGCATCTTCAAGTACTTGTCGAAACGACGGTCGTCAATTTCGTCGGCGATCCAGCCTCGTGCAAGGAAGGTGGCAACTGCACTAACTATACCCGATGCACATCACGCCATTATTGAATAGAAACTCAGAGGGATTTTACATGGAAACCGGTACTCGGTCATAGAAGAAATCAGTCAGCCCCTTCTCAATTAGCCCGTTGGCGATCCCTAACAAGGCATATTGAGGAGCTAGCCATAGGATTGTCATGGGATCCTCTTCCTTCCCGATTAACTTCAATCTCCGGGTCTCCACTAACCAAGAACTTAGCGACGAACCGGAAGCGAACAACAACCCGACTCCCATTCTCGCGAATCTAGCACGATATTGCTCGTGTTCATTTCTCCAAACCTTGTCGACTAGAAACTTAGACGACATGATACTAAAAAGCTTGTGAATTTCTCCAACACGTAGAGCGAAGTCAGGGGAATCTCATTTGATAAATGTCGAGAAATCCTGGGATTAATGCCGGTTCTCAATCTATCACTCTGAAAGATGAAAGGGGTGGATCCGGCTACTTCCACTAAACTATAAGGGATGAATAAAAGTCAAAGAGGGACCAATTTGACGAGCCTCGTCGCCTCCTTGAATCGAGCAGCAGCCGGTCGTCTGGCTGGACGTTCGAGTTCGTAACAGCATCTGCTGCAGATGAAAACCGCGTAACCCACAGCCACCGCGATAAATGAATCCTTGATTCTTTGCTTCCATCCGAGATTGCTAGATAAAAGCATCCAGTATGTGAACTTTGCGAGAAAGCCAGCACCATAGGACCATATATTAGCACGACCCCAAACAATTTGATCGTGCTCTCTCCTCCGTTGTTTTTCCGTTCCCCTCTCATCGACGCAATTTTATCGTCTTCAAACTGCTAGTCTAAAATTGATGGTAGAGAAGCTTCTTCTCTCGCTAAGCCAACTATTATTAACAGTAGAGCCATGTAAAGTGTTCCATTACTCGTTTCTAGAGGCTAGAGATCCAGGAAGACTAGAAAGCCATAACATCAGCAAACCCTGCGAAAAAAAAAGTCATTTAATTAATTTTTGAGTTAACTGCATATATGTCCCCAATCTAGAGCCCTCATTTTACACTGGTCCTTATCCTTTTAATATTCTAATTTCATCCTTAAACTTTGACTCAAGTCCTTAAACTTTTGAAATTCTAATTTTATCCCTAAACTATGACTCTCTTTCTAAATTAGTCCCCAAAATTTTGAATATTCCAATTTCATCCCAAGTTCATCCAAATATGTAATTAGTTTCAACCATATTTTAACCTAAATTTTTTTTTCAATCATATAATAATATAATTTCATTAATTTGGCCTAATGATTTTATTAACAAGGGATGTGATTAGTATATACATATAGTTTGGGAAGAAATTAAAATGTTCAAAAAGTTTTAGGATTAATTTAGAATGTAGGTTGTAGTTTGGGGATGAATTGAAATGTTTAAATTTTAAGGACTAATTTAAAATGATATTCATAATTTAGGGGTGAAATTTGAGCGTTTAAAAGTTTAAGAACCAATTTTAAATAAGTCATACTTTGAGGACATGTAATGCAATTAACTCATAATTTTGGGTAAACTACACAATATATCACTTAACTTTAGGCGATGTATTGTTTATATCACTAAACTTTCAATCCCGTCAATTATAGCATTAAACTTTGAATTTGATTTCAACTATGTCATTGGGTTATTAAATTTTAAAGGCACAATGACTTGTAAGAATCTTTTTGTCACTATGATGATGTGGATAAAACAATGTCATTTTGTCTCAATTATTGTTGTCCAAAACGATATTATTTTAAGCATTGAACTTTTAAGGGTATATTGATTTTTCCACTAAACTTTTAAAAAATTCACTTTTCGACATTGCAATTTTACAACCACCACTAACTGTCAATCATCATCCATCACTAGTAGTCTTTCTCGGTAAGATTAGTATCAAAATTATTGAGTTAATCGATTGACGGAATAGGCCAAGAGGGGGGTAAATTGGCAATAAAAATTTTGGTGTAAGCTTTTGCAGAAAATTGAAAGAAATTGCACAACGATTTAGAGTGGTTCGACTTTCTCAACCAAAGTCTACGTCCACTACCTTAGCTATCCACACTAATGATTTTCCACAAATTCACTAATTTGTCTTTCTTTTGAGGACAAAGAGTAACCTTACAATCCCTCAAGAATTATACCCCAAATTCTTGAGAACAATCTCTCTCAAAGAGAATAATACAAATTTGCAAACTTACAAGGAAATCCTCACAAGGTGGATTGTTTGCACAATTCTAGAACAAAGAAAAGAACACTCAAGAATGAATACAATTGAGCACAATAAGTGTTCTTGAAAGAAAAATGAATATTGAATGAAAAATAGGCTTGAAATGCTCAAACTTGAGGTTTGATGCTTTCTCTTTGATTCTCTCTTGATTCTAGTTGCTTGATGTTTCTTGTTCTTGATCAATGGCTTCTAAACTTGCTTAAATACACCTTGAATCACTTCTGAATGTTGGGGATGATTAGTGGAGTCAATATAGCCGTTTAAGTATGAAAACAATTAATTAAAAACAATTGGGAGCGTCAGTGCATCGATGCATATCCATGGTGCATCGATGCATCAGTGTAAAATTCAAATATTTTGACCGTTGGACCCTTAGTGCATCGGTACACTAAGAGTGCATCGATGCATCAAGTGCATTCGATGTTTCAAAATAGTCAGAGTGCATCGATGCATGGCTGGTGCATCGATGTATCAAATGCATTCGATGTTTTCATAAAATCCTCAGTGCATCAGTGCATGGTATGTGCATCGATGCATGAAATGCATTCGATGTTCAATTTAATTCATGGTGCATCGATGCATGGATTGGTGCATCGGTGCATGGATTGGTGCATCGGTGCATCACTCTGAAAAATTGACTTTAGGCTTGATTTTTGGTTCAAAATAATTTTACACATTTAGTAAGGTTTGAAATTGATCTTAAAAGACTTGGATTAATAATTTTATATTCGATTAATTGAATCGAATATATTTAGAAAATCATTTGTAAAATCTTAAAATTTATTTAAACTAATTTGTTATATCGAAATACAAAAATGTTTTCAATAATCTCCCCCTTTTTGATATAACAAAACATTTGTGTTATTTTAAGATTTTCTAAAAATTTGAAATCAATTTCAATTTAGAAAAATTACTCCCCCTTACTATAACACTTCCCCCTTTGAAAACATTTTGACACACTTAACAATTCTCCCCCTTTTTGTTAAATCAAAAAGACTTAAAAACGATTTGAACAAGGTTTTGAAAAACATAGCCAATTGATTATATATATATATATATATATATATATATATATATATATATATATATATATATATATATATAGCTTAAGCTGCTAAGATCATAATCAAATGAGAGTTAGCCATTAGTTTCATAATCAATATTCATAATAAAAATGTGAAATGGTAAATTGGTCATCTTGCAACTAAAAAATAAATGATGCATATGTTGTAATAAACCAAAATATATATATAAAATATCAAACAATCATCCAACGATCAAAGAAAGTTAATCCAAAATGTTTTAACAATGCAAGTTCAACCCAAAAACAATGAAAGATAAGTCTATTCATCCATTGAAGGATCGGGAGGAGGAGGAGGATAACGAGCTCTCATCTCAAGCGAGAGTGCATCCAAACGATCATTCATATCTTGTTGTCGAGCTCCCAAGGTAAAGAGCTGGGACTCAATGATTGTGAAGCGCGAATCCATGGACGCATGCCGTAAATCAAATATCTCCAAAAGCGAATGAAAATACGGAGACATTTGTTCTTCTTGTGGAGCTGGTTCCGGTGCAGGCTCGTCATCAGGTACATGATCATCGATGTCTTGCATAAGTTTTTAAAATTCAGGATCATCGTCATCAGCCGGAGCTGCAGGAGGAGGAGCACGAGAGGAGCTAGGAGCAGCTCGTGAGGAACTAGCTCCAAGAGTTTACTTTCCGGGTCTAAAAACCCATTGACCGGTAACCTCGTCTTGTTTCCAATCACCTTTCTTCAAGGATGTGAGATTGATTTGATTTTGAAGTGGGATAGGATTGTCAAGAGAAACGTCTAGAACAAGTTTGATAAAGAGGTTACTAAGAAGAAATCCATAAATCAATGTTTCAACATGTTTTGAAGGAACAATGTTTATGATGTCCACTAGTTGACTAAATATAATGTGGGGCAGATTTATTTTGATTTTATTTTTAAGACAATACATCCACCATAAATCCCTAGCACGAAGTGTGGAGTACCTACCTCCGGATGGTCTAAACCACCAAAAGATCATCAAATGGAGAAAACGATCGTGATGAGATCGTAGAGTACTAACACTTGAGTTTGGAACATAGGGATATTCCATATTTTCACTTTCATTATATACACCATTATCATCTAACCCAAATCGGAAAGCTATAGTCTCGGGGTCAATATTAATATATTGGCCTAAAAGATAGGATCTAATGGCTATAGTTCCACATTGATTTTCATTTTGAATACACACCGCATTGGAATAGAAAATGCAGACCAATTGTTGATAGACGATAGGTTTAAGTTTAAACAATTTATCAAACTTCCAAGCTTTAAGAGTCGGAAGGTATTCGAAATCAATGTCAACCATAGCTTGAAGTGAAGGAATACGCTCTTCACGGATTCTATAAGTTTGGAAAGAGTTTCTGTACCTAGAGTACAATTCGTCTCTACGACGCTCAGGCATGTTAAAACAAGACCCTAATAGAGATGAAGGTGGAGGAAGAACGAGATTAGGAGGTTGAGGAACGGGAGGACGGTTTTGGTTTGATCGACTCGAAGATGACCTGGGTCGTTTAGGATTTGACATGATTAAAAGAAATCAGAATAAGGAATGTCACCTGTAATTTGAAACACATGTATGCATAATCAATCCCAAAACTCAAATGAGTCCTCAATAATTCAAGGTTCTCTAAATCATATCCTAATGGGCATGTTGTGAAAACTTTTTAATAATATCATAATATAGTTTTCATGAAAACAACATAATTAAATAAAAAATATTACTAATTTTTGATTTTTTTTTAATTTCGAAATTCAAAGAAAAATCTTGAAAATTGTTTGTTTATGACGAAATTGTTAGTAAAATCTTGTTTAGAACCAACAAACAATCAATGCCCGATATAATGTTCATCATAGAACTAATCAAAACTAGTTCTAAAATCAAAAATTTGTAAAATAGAGGTTTTTAGAAAAATACCTTGAAAATTAGGATTGAGAGGGATGAGGAGTTGTTTTGCACGATTTAATGATTGAAGCAGGTTTGCAAGTTGAAAAGCTTGAAGATTCCGACGAAAAATCGTTGATT